CCATCTCCCATATGTGTACATGAAGGTTTCAGTTTAGTGTGCATTGACGGTCCTTTTTTGGTTTCAACATGTGTAATACATGCAGGGTGTCCCAGAAGTATTCAGGCTCATTGTGCCTGTGTAGTCCTGCCAGGAGGAAAAATATTTATGAATTAGTATCACTCTTGAGGCATAGTTCTGTCTGTGAAAATACTTGCTATATAAAGTCAAAGTTAAGTTTTCAAAAAATAAGCTTATATGGGCCAGATATGACAGCGGCAAAAAAAAAAAAATCCAAGTGATGTGTTTTTTCTGCAGCTCTTGTTGAGCCACAAGCTCTTTAGGACAAGCGCTTAAGTCTTTTTTGGTGTATAAACCCCATACTCATAATAAAACTATTATGATAATCCTGCATTATTGTTATCGTGTTAATTAGCATTTATTCTTAGTTCTGAACAGAGGAATGCTGTTGAATTCATTTATCAAGGAAAAAAAAAGGCCTTTTGTGCATTTGCTCAGGCTGTAGTAAACCAAATAGGCAGTGAAGCATGCTGCACCTGATGCTGGGTGTCTCTGGCATGTTAGGCACAGTAGGGCCGAAACTGGCATGCCTGGAAATGCTGTAAAGAAAGGGATATGTAGTGTCATATTTATTCTTTCATTCAGTTACTACTTTGGAACACTCTACCCTTGTTCTCATCTGTGCAGAGTAATAGGAGATAAAGACACCTTATTCCTGTTTCAGTATTTCAGCAGGCCCTTGTGACTGTTTCATTATTAAGATTCATTTTATAAACCTTTTTAGGTTGTGATTGACAGCAAAATCTTTCTTTTTTTTCTGGGATTTTGCTCAAAATAAAATGGTGATATATAGCTGAAGCGTGTGTCTGTCTTGGATAGTTTTATAGGATGTTAATATCGCACCAAGTGACTTTTACAAAGGTGAAATATGATAGAGCAACATAATGTCTTGATGATTTTGGAAGATAAAGTTGAGAAGTGGTGTATACGCCTGTGGTGTTCAGTCCTATGGTCATAGTCTTATAGAAGGTCTTGAAACAGGCCATTGCATTGGCTGAGTGTTCCAGCAAAGGAACATTGGTTTGCCTTCTCCTTAGCATGGTGGACTCGGTTTTATGCTACTTCAATGTTGTTACAGGTCTGTAGTCTTACGTATAGTACATTACTGTTCTGCTTCTGTCCCTAAACCCATTTGTGAACATAAAAAACCATGCCCCAAACACTCTGACTCCCCAAAAAAAAGTTGGGGTTATTTTGTTGTTTTGCCTCCTGTCTTCACTTTAAAGGTTAGGTAAGTATTTTCAGCATAGGCATCAACTTCCACAAACCCAGCAAACCAAAATTAAAGCAAAATTTGGAGCAGTGATTTTGAAGTTAAGAAAAACTCTGTTGAGAGAGGGGGGAAAAAACCCCAGCATTGTAACGTGTGCTGTTTTGTAATTGATGTTGCCAGAAGATCCAGGAAGATGTGTTCTTTGGACTTCAAGCTCACCTGTCACTTCAGTATGTTTTATGGAGAAATGTGTACATCAGTAAGTTTCTGAAGATGTGCACTATAAAAATATGTAAATCTTAGAAGGTGTAGCTCGGTCTGAGCACAGGCAGTAGAATATATAATAAGTAAGCTGCATAAGTGCATGCAGGTTGTCAGCTGTGTAGGTTGTTGGTTCTGGAGTTTACATGCCCATCTGCAGAAGCAGAAGGGAGACACGTATTAAACCTCTCAGGCTTATGGTTTCGGATGAAAGGCTGATGAAGCTTCTGTCTACCGTGAACGGTTTGGTGCTGGACTAAGAAAGCTGTAGTCTTTTGTAGCTTCCCAAGCCCATTAGTTGTGGTTCAGGAAACTTAACAGCATCACGGGTGCAGCCTGTGGAGCTTGTAAGCAGTGCAAGCCTGAACTTGACAGCAGTCTCAGACACCCGGTAGCCAGAAGTAGATAGGCAGAGCAAAGGGTGGGTGAGAACCCAGCACTCATCCAGGCTGGAAATAGAAAAGGTGGTGTTTCTTGTGCAGGTGTACCCTGAGATGAGGAAAGTCCATTTCTCGTTGTGACTTTGTGGTTGTGATGTGTATGATAGCTCTGAAACTCCTGCTGGGGTTTTTGATGGAAGAGGGAGAGCTCTCTTCTCCCCCCACAGCTTCTGGAATAGAGCCTGTGCTAATTTGGTGTCTTTTTCCACAAAGAAAACCAGTGCTACTGTCTGCATCTGCATTTGCATTCCCAAGCAGCAGCTGACTGAAACTGGCAAAACCGGTCACTTTAGATGTGGGGTGAAGCTGGGATACTGCTGGTGATTTCATTCTGCTGCTTGGATAAAAAAGTTAACCTGTGAGCAGCAAGAGAAACCATGAGGCTGCCTGAAGGCACAGGAAGTGGAGCTACACGGTTTACACTCTAGAATGTGTTTGCTAACATGCTTTTAGGAAAAAGAACTCTTTAGTCCCTGTTGAGACTGGATGAATATTTGGGCTTTTTCCAAGCCCTGATATAAAGCAAATAACTGAAGTTTGAAGAATTCCCCAGTGCATCTATTGAAACAAGCAGTGCTTAGGAAGGGTAGAAAAATAGCTAACTCTGAAAACAGGTGACTCAAGTGGAAAAAAAAAAAATTCAAGATGCAAACTGTGGCAATGAGTACTTGGGTTAAGAAAAGATGGTTTTCTCTGCTGTGCTCTTTCCTCCTCATTGTCTGTACATTAGTATTGTCTCCCCCCAGGTTGTCCAGATATGTTCTGCTTTGTTGTTCAACCAGTGCTGCAGAAGAAACGTTTGTACCTGGAATTTCCTAGTTGGAGTACTTGTAACCTGTACAGTTATGTGAACTGTGGCAATGAGTACTTGGGTTAAGAAAAGATGGTTTTCTCTGCTGTGCTCTTTCCTCCTCATTGTCTGTACATTAGTATTGTCTCCCCCCAGGTTGTCCAGATATGTTCTGCTTTGTTGTTCAACCAGTGCTGCAGAAGAAACGTTTGTACCTGGAATTTCCTAGTTGGAGTACTTGTAACCTGTACAGTTACTCTGCTGCTTCATTGTGCATTTCTTACTTAGGCAGTTCTGCAGTGCTGCATATGTTGAACCTCCGACACATCTTACTAACTAGATCTGGTTCCTCTGAGATGCGTCATGTAGCATCTCTTGCGGCCAACTGCTTTTCAGTAACTGCTGTTTATGTAGAGGATCGGGGCAACCTTCAGGAAGCTGCTACTGCAGTGTGCTTCAGACTCGATCTGAAGGAATTCCCTGTAAGCATGTTAAGTCCCCTTGATGATTTAATTCCCGGTGCTTTTGAGACATCAAACTAGGAAGGGAATTAATTGGCGATATCCTATATCTTCGCTGTGCTTAAATGTTACAGATGTCTTTGCTCCGAATGGCAGTTGTATGATAACACTTTCTGTGAGATTGATCAAATTTGATAGCGTGAACCCAAGTTACCATGTATGTTTACTTGCACAGTCAAATTGCAATGATGAAATAAACTGGACCAGTTATTCAGTGTGAGTCAAAATGGAATCAGAAGAGCAGTGAACTCAGCAGAAGCAGTCCTTGATTGCTCTTGTTCTTACATTGCGAGAGTTTGAGCTGCGAATTTCAAAATGTTATCCAAAGGGGAAGCTGGTGTCCAGCTGGCTACTCCTTGGGAACAAGTTACTGAATTCACAAAAACATGCTTCTACCATATCAGACTGATATCTTAACAGAAGCACAAAGTAGGCTAGAGTCTGTGTTGCATGTCCTGGATTTCTCATTAGGAAGCATTTCTGCAGTTGCAGCACAGATTTCATTGCCTCATATCACAGCACACAACTGTCATTTTCTGATTTCATTTCAGCAGCCTTAAGTGAACAGGGAATGTGTAATCCTTAGCTGCCTAGAAAAAATAAGGTTCAGATTAAAAGTGCTCTCAACCCTGGCTTGATCATCTGTCTGACAGTATCGGTGAACTTTTGGTTAGTAATGTGACATAAATATTAAGACTGGTGAATCAGCTGGAGAGACAGCAGGGGAATTCTTCCCACGTTTGTATAAGACCAGGCAGAAGGAAAACTAATTATCCTCTACTTCAGAGCAAATGAGGAATTCTAAGGACAACTATTTTAGTGGCAAGTGTATGCTTGTAAATGTCTAGGTTTTCCTTAAAAATAACAGGTTTTGAGCAATAGTTATTTTCACAGCCCAGTACTTCCAGGGTTTCTTTGCTTGAAAATGCTGAATGCTGCTGTTTATTCTCTTGTGAAAAATGTCAAGAAGAAATGTAATTTCTAGAAATCAACTAATGCTTTTTTCCATTCCTTTAAAATAAAGTTACTTGTATGTGATTCAAAGCAAAGTTTTTGTTTCCACTCAAGTGTGTATCAAGCTCCAGATCTCATCTTTGTTAAAAGTAATTGTAAGACTCATGGTTTGGGAAAGTGCTGAAGGGTATGCCTGTGCTTCACTGATCTGAATGTGTTGCTGAATGGTGACTCTCAACTGCAAGCAGTAAATGGCATATTTTGAACTTCAGAAATGTGCAGGTTCTTTTCCTCTTTGTGCATGTCACAGCACATTCCTTATTGCTTAAAACTGTATCTGGAGCTTTTGATATACAGCAAATTTAGGTACAAGTTAAAATCTTGGTTTCTAAGAACAGGTGACTAGGAGAGGTGTAACCATGTAAGTCCTCACAGTCATTACATATGGATCTCCAGCATCAATAAAACTGCTGCTGTGTTCTTTAGTCTGATGTCCCTCAAGCATACTTCTTGATGTCACAGGACTGTTGCCTTGCAGATTCCTTGGAGGAATTGTTAGCTTATCATGGCAGCACCTCTGTGATTGCCTTCTTGTAAACATTTTAGAGAGTCACGGAAGTGACATTTCAGAAACAAAGATCTGGAAGACTTGATAGCATCTAGCAGTATCACTATATATGTGCCGTATTTTTTAGTTTATATGCAGACAGAAAATACTTAGTTTTGAGGTGATTTAGGCAGGATGGCAGGTTGCAGAATGAATGGTGAAGCCTAGAGTTCATGCCTTTCTTGTTAACTGGGTATGTATTTATTTTCAATTTTAGGTTGGAGGCAGTAAGCACACAATGAATGAGCACCTCCATGTTGGTAGCCATGGACAAATCCAGGTTCAG